GGGCTGTTTTTGGGGCCATTTTTGGGTAGATTTGGGGACATTTTGGGTCCATTTTGGGGCCATTTTGGGTCCAATTTTGGGGCCATTTTTGGGCCATTTTGGGGCCATTTTGGGGCCATTTTGGGGCCATTTTTGGGTGGATTTGGGGCCATTTTGGGGCCATTTTTGGGTGGATTTGGGGCCATTTTTGGGGCCATTTTTGGGTGGATTTGGGGCCATTTTTGGGCCATTTTGTGGCCATTTCTGGTGAATTTTGGGTCCAATTTTGGGTCCATTTTTGGGCCATTTTTGGGGAATTTTTGGGCCCACTTTTGGGCAGATTTGGGCCATTTGGGGAGATTTTGGGGCCATTTTTGGGCGAATTTGGGGCCATTTTAGGGCCATTTTTAGAGGAATTTCGAGGAATTTTGGGGTCGTTTTTGGGTGAACTTGGGGTGAATTTGGGGCCATTTTTGGGGCCGTTTTTGGGGCAATTTTGGGGCCATTTTTGGGTGGATTTGGGGCCATTTTGGGGCCATTTCTGGTGAATTTTTGGGTCCATTTTTGCATGGATTTGGGGCCATTTTTGGGCGTATTTGGGGCCATTTTAGGCGAATTTTTGGGGCCATTTTCGGGGAGTTTTGGGGCCATTTTGGGGCCATTTTTGGGTGGATTTGGGGCCATTTTGGGGCCATTTCTGGGGAATTTTTGGGGCAAATTTTGGGGCCATTTTGGGTCCATTTTGGGGTCCATTTTGGGTCCATTTTTGGGGCATTTGGGGCCATTTTGGGGCCATTTTTGGGGCCATTTTGGGCCATTTTTGAGTCCATTTTTGGGTGGATTTGGGGCCATTTTGGGTCCATTTTTGTGTCCAATTTTGGGCCCATTTTGGGGCCATTTTGGGGCCATTTTTGGGTGGATTTGGGGTGAATGTTGGGGCCATTTTTAGAGGAATTTTGAGGGAATTTTGGGGCCATTTTGGGGGGAATTTGGGGCAAATTTTGGGGCATTTTGGGGCCATTTTTGGGTGGATTTGGGGCCATTTTGGGGCTATTTCTGGATATTTTTGGGGCATTTTGGGGCCATTTTTGGGTGGATTTGGGGCATTTTTGGGGCCATTTTTAGGGAGATTTTGGGGCTACTTGGGGGAATTTCTGGGTATTTTTGGGGCCATTTTGGGGAATTTTTGGGGCCATTTTGGGTCCATTTTTGGGTCCAATTTTGGGTCAATTTTTGGTCCATTTTGGGCCCATTTTGGGTCCAATTTTGGGTCCATTTTTGGGCCATTTTGGGTCCAATTTTGGGACCATTTTTGGTCCATTTTGGGTCCATTTTTGGTCCATTTTTTGTCCATTTTGGGTCCAATTTTGGGTCAATTTTTGGTCCATTTTGGGTCCATTTTGGGTCCAATTTTGGGACCATTTTTGGTCCATTTTGGGGTCCATTTTTGGTCCATTTTTTGTCCATTTTGGGTCCAATTTTGGGTCAATTTTTGGTCCATTTTGGGTCCATTTTGGGTCCAATTTTTGGGCCATTTTTGGGCCATTTTGGGTCCATTTTTGGGGCCATTTTCGGGGCAAATTTGGGTCCAATTTTGGGTCCATTTTTGGGCCATTTGGAGCCATTTTTGGGCCATTTTTGGGTGGATTTGGGTCCAATTTTGGGTCCATTTTTGGGTCCATTTTGGGGCCATTTTGGGGCCATTTTGGGGCCATTTTGGGGCCATTTTGGGGCCATTTTTGGGTGGATTTGGGGCCATTTTGGGGCCATTTCTGGTGAATTTTGGGGCCATTTTGGGGCCATTTTTGGGTGGATTTGGGTCCATTTTGGGTCCAATTTTGGGTCCATTTTTGGGCCATTTTTGGGGAATTTTTGGGCCCACTTTTGGGCAGATTTGGGCCATTTGGGGAGATTTTGGGGCCATTTTTGGGCGAATTTGGGGCCATTTTAGGGCCATTTTTAGAGGAATTTTGGGCCATTTTGGGGTCATTTTTGGGTGAACTTGGGGTGAATTTGGGGCCGTTTTAGGGGCCGTTTTTGGGGCAATTTTGGGGCCATTTTTGGGTGGATTTGGGGCCATTTTGGGGCCATTTCTGGTGAATTTTTGGGTCCATTTTTGCATGGATTTGGGGCCATTTTTGGGCATATTTGGGGCCATTTTAGGCGAATTTTTGGGGCCATTTTCGGGGAGTTTTGGAGCCATTTGGGGCCATTTTTTGGGTGGATTTGCGGCAATTTTGAGGCCATTTCTGGGGAATTTTTGGGGCAAATTTTGGGGCCATTTTTGGGCCATTTTGGGTCCAATTTTGGGGCCATATTTGGGCCATTTTGGGGCCATTTTTGGGGCCATTTTTGGGTGGATTTGGGGCCATTTTGGAGCCAATTTTGGGGCAATTTTGGGGCCATTTTTGGGCCATTTTAGGGTGGATTTGGGGCCATTTTAGAGGAATTTGGGGCAAATTTTGGGGCATTTTTGGGTGGATTTGGGGCCATTTTTGGGCCATTATTGGGTGGATTTAGGATGAATTTTGGGGCCATTTTTAGAGCAATTTTGAGGGGATTTTGGGGCCCTTTTGGGGCTATTTCTGGTGAATTTTTGGGTCCATTTTTGGGTGGATTTGGGGCCATTTTTAGAGGAATTTTGAGGGAATTTGGGGCCATTTTCAGGGGAATTTGGGGCAAATTTTGGGGCCATTTTAGGGAATTTTTGGGGCCATTTTTGGGTGGATTTGGGGCCATTTTTAGAAGAATTTTGAGGGAATTTGGGGCCATTTTCAGGGGAATTTGGGGCAAATTTTGGGGCCATTTTAGGGAATTTTTGGGGCCATTTTGGGTCCAATTTTGGGGCCATTTTGGGTCCATTTTTGGGGCCATTTTTGGGGCCATTTTTAGAGGAATTTTGGAGAATTTTGGGGCCATTTTTGGGGCCATTTTTAGAGGAATTTTGGAGAATTTTGGGGCCATTTTTGGGTGGATTTGGGGCCATTTTTAGAGGAATTTTGAGGGGATTTTGGGGCCATTTTTGGGTGGATTTGGGGCCATTTTGGAGCCAATTTTGGGGCCATTTTTGAAGGAATTTCGGGCCATTTTGAGGCCATTTTGGGGCCATTTTTTGGGTTGATTTGGGGCCATTTTGGGGCCATTTTAGGAGAATTTTTGGGGCCATTTTTGGGTGGATTTGTCCCCATTTTTGGTCCATTTTGGGTCCATTTTGGGCCCATTTTGGGTCCAATTTTGGGGCCATTTTTGGGCCAGTTTGGGGCCATTTTTGGGCCATTTTGGTCCATTTTGGGTCCATTTTTGGTCCATTTTGGGTCCATTTTTGGGCCATTTTGTGGCCATTTTTGGGTTGATTTGGGTCCATTTTTGGGCCATTTTGGGTCCAATTTTGGGGCCATTTTTGGGCCATTTTTGGTCCATTTTGGGTCCAATTTTGGGTCCATTTTGGGTCCATTTTGGGTCCAATTTTGGGTCCATTTTGGTCCATTTTGGGTCCAATTTTGGGTCCATTTTTGGTCCATTTTGGGTCCATTTTTGGGTCCATTTTTGGGCCATTTTGGGCTATTTTTGGGCCATTTTTGGGCCATTTTTGGGCCATTTTGGGGCCATTTTTGGGTGGATTTGGGGCCATTTTGGGTCCAATTTTGGGTCCATTTTGGGTCCATTTTTGGGCCAATTTTTGATCCATTTTTGGTCCATTTTTGGGCCATTTTTGGTCCATTTTTGGGCCATTTTGGGTCCATTTTTGGGTCCATTTTGGGGCCATTTTTGGGCCATTTTGGGTCCATTTTGGGGCCATTTTTGGGCCATTTTGGGTCCATTTTGGGGCCATTTTTGGGCCATTTAGGGGCCATTTTGGGGCCATTTTTGGGTCCATTTAGGGGCCATTTTTGGGTGGATTTGGGGCCATTTGGGGGGGGCATTTTGGGGCCTTTTGGGGCCATTTTTGGTTGGATTTGGGGTCATTTTGGGGCCATTTTTAGGTGGATTTGTCCCCATTTTGGGGCCATTTTGGAGCCAATTTTGGGGCCATTTTTGGGGCCATTTTTGGGTGGATTTGGGGCCATTTTTGGGGCATTTTTGGGCAATTTTGGGCCATTTTGGGGTGGATTTAGGTTGAATTTTGGGGCCATTTTTAGAGGAATTTTAAGGGAATTTTGGGGCCATTTTGGGGTGGATTTGGGGCCATTTTGGAGCAAATTTTGTGGCCATTTTGGGGCCATTTTTGGGCCATTTTGGGTCCAATTTTGGGGCCATTTTTGTGCCATTTTGGGGCCATTTTTGGGTGGATTTGGGCCCATTTTGGGGCCATTTTGGGCTATTTTTGGGCAGATTTGGGGCCATTTTTGGGGCCATTTTTGGGCCATTTTTGGGTGGATCTGGGGCAATTTTGGGGCCAATTTTGAGGCATTTTGGAGGAATTTTGGGGCCATTATTTGGTGGATTTGGGGCAATTTTTGGATCCAATTTTTGGGCCATTTTAGGGCAGATTTGGGGCCATTTTGTGGCCATTTTTCGGTGGATTTGGGCCCATTTTGGGCCATTTAGGGCTATTTTTGGGCCATTTTTGGGCCATATTTGGTCCATTTTGGGCCATTTTTTGGTCCATTTTGGGTCCATTTTTGGTCCATTTTGGGTCCATTTTGGGTCCATTTTTGGTCCATTTTGGGTCCATTTTGGGTCCATTTTGGGGCCATTTTTGGGCCATTTTTGGGCCATTTTGGGTCCATTTTTGGTCCATTTTGGGTCCATTTGGGTCCATTTTTGGTCCATTTTTGGGGCCATTTTTGGTCCATTTTGGGTCCATTTTGGGGCCATTTTGGGTCCATTTTTGGGCCATTTTTGGCCCATTTTTGGGCCATTTTGGGTCAATTTTTGGTCCATTTTTGGGGCCATTTTGGGGCCATTTTTGGGCCATTTTGGGGCCATTTTTGGGTGGATTTGGGGCCATTTTGGGTCAATTTTTGGTCCATTTTGGTCCATTTTGTGCCCATTTTGCTGCCAGCAGTGCCGCATTCATCACCGCTGCCATTCATTCATTAATTAACCCGGGCTTAATTAATTAATTAACCCCAAATCCCCACTTTCAACCCTTTCAACCCCCTTTCCCCTTTATTAATGAACGATTTTAATCAATTTTTTAATTAATTCCCCCTCCAACCCCTCCAAAAGTCCAATCAGGAGTTAATTAATGATGTTAATTAATTAATTAAGCAGGTGTTAATTGGCCATGGGGGAGCTGAGCGACCTGGACCGGCAAATTGAGCAACTGAGGCGCTGCGAGCTCATTAAGGAGAGCGAGGTCAAGGCCCTGTGCGCCAAAGCCCGGTAATTAACGCTAATTAACGCTAATTAATATGCATGAATATTCATCTATGGTTATTGGCGGGTATTGAGGGGTTTTATACCCTAATTAATGGTAATTAATGGTTATTAGAGGTCATTAAAGTGGAATATCTGTGTTCCAAAGGCTGGTAATTAATGCTAATTAACGCTAATTAATATTCATCGATGCTATTAGGCCTCCTTTGGTGGCTACGGAGGCATTTCGAGCTTAATTAATGGTAATTAATGGTCATTAATGGAGCTATTAGAGGTCATTACAGTGGAATATCTGTGGTCCAAAGTGCGGTAATTAACGCTAATTAACGCTAATTAATATTCATGAATATTCAATGAATATTCATGTATTGGTTATTGGTGGTTATTGATGGATTTTAACATTAATTAATGGTAATTAATGCTCATTAATGGTTATTAGTGCTCATTAAGGTCAAAGCTCTGTGCTCCAAAGCCTGGTAATTAATGCTAATTAACGCTAATTAATATTCATGAATATTCAATGAATATTCATGTATTGGTTATTGGTGGTTATTGATGGATTTTAACTTAATTAATGGTAATTAATGCTCATTAATGGTCATTAATGGTCATTAAAGTGGAATATCTGTGCGCCAAAGGCTGGTAATTAATGCTAATTAACGCTAATTAATATTCATGAATATTCAATGAATATTCAGGTATTGGTTATTGGCGGGTATTGATGGATTTTAAACTTAATTAATGGTAATTAATGCTCATTAATGGTCATTAAAGTGAAACATCTGTGTTCCAAAGCCCAGTAATTAACGCTAATTAACGCTAATTAATATTCATGAATATTAAATGAATATTCATCTATTGGTTATTGGCGGTTATTGATGGATTTTAACCCTAATTAATGGTCATTAATGCTCATTAGAGGTCATTAAAGTGAAATATCTGTGGTCCAAAGCTGGTAATTAATGCTAATTAACGCTAATCAATATTCATCACTCTTAATTAGGCCTCCTTTGGTGGCTATGGAGGCATTTCAAGCTTAATTAATGGTCATTAATGGTCATTAATGGGCATCAGAGTGAAATATCTGGGTGTCAAATTAACGCTAATTAATATTCATGAATATTCATGTATTGGTTATTGGTGGCTATTGAGGGGTTTTAAGCCTAATTAATGGTAATGAGCGCTAATGGTAATTAGTGCTCATTAAGGTCAAAGGGCTGTGCTCCAAAGCCTGGTAATTAATGCTAATTAACGCTAATTAATATTCATGAATATTCATGTGTTGGTTATTGGTGGGAATTGAGGGGTTTTAACCCTAATTAATGGTAATTAATGGTAATTAATGGTTATTAGAGGTCATTAAAGTGAAATATCTGCGTTCCAAAGGCTGGTGATTAACGCTAATTAACGCTAATTAATATTCATCGATCTTAATTAGGCCTCATTTGGTTCATATTGAGGAATTTCAAGCTTAATTAATGGTCATTAATGGTCATTAATGCCTCATCAAAGTGAAATATCTGTGTTCCAAAGTGTGGTAATTAACGCTAATTAATATTCATGAATATTCATGTATTGGTTGTTGGTGGTTATGGAGGGGTGTTAAGCTTAATTAATGGTAATTAGTGCTAATTAATGGTCCTTAATGGTAATTAATGCTCATTAAGGTCAAAGGGCTGTGCTCCAAAGGCTGGTAATTAACGCTAATTAACGCAAATTAATATTCATGAATATTCAATGAATATTCAGGTATTGGTTATTGGCGGTTATTGAGGGGTTTCAACCCTAATTAATGGTATTAATGGTCATTAGATGGATATTAGAGGTCATTAAAGTTGGAATATCTGCGTTCCAAAGGCTGGTAATTAACGCTAATTAACGCTAATTAATATTGCCATTAATTCTGTTAATTGTTATTAATGAATTCTGGTTATTAATTGCTGCTAATGATGGTTAATTATTGCTAATTAATTGGCATCCATTGGGGTTAATTGCAGCTCATTAATTGCTGTTAATTGGGCTTAATAGCCATACATTGAGGCTGATTAATTAATGTTAATTGGGGTTAAGTGAGGCTGATTATTTGCTGCTAATTGGGGTTAATTGAGGCTCATTAATTGCCATTAATTGGGGTTAATTGAGACTCATTAATTGCTGTTTAATTGTGGTTAATGGGGATTAATTGAAGGTCATTAATTGCCATTAATTGCCGTGATTGCTCTTAAATGGGGTTAATTGCCATTAATTCCGGTTAATTGTTATTAATTAATTTGGGTTATTAATTGCTGAATTAATGAATGACTGAACTAATTAGTGATTAATTAATGATTAATTAACGCCTGAATTAATTACTGACGGGATTAATTAACGACTTAATTAATTACCGACTGAATTAGTTAAGGCCTGAATTAATTAATGATTGACTTAATGAATAATTAATTAATGACTGAATTAATTTACCTCTGAAATAATTAATGCCTGAATTAATTAATGCCTGAATTAAGCAACGACTGAATTAATTAATGACTGTATTAATTAACGCCTGAATTAATTAAGAACTGAATTATTTTACGACTGAATTAATTAATGCCTGAATTAAGTAATGACTGATTTAATTAATGCCTGAATTAATCAATGCCTGAATTAATTAACGACTGAATTAATTAACGACTGAATTAACTCCTGAAGCAATTAATGCCTGAATTAATTAATGCCCGAATTAATTAAAAACTGAATTAATTAACAACTGAATTAATTAATGCCTGAATTAATTCACGGCTGAAATAATTAATGCCTGAATTAAGCAACGACTGAATTAATTAATGACTAGATTAATTAATGGCTGGATTAATTAACGCCTGAATTAATTAGTGCCTGAATTAATTAGTGCCTGAATTATTAGTGCCTGAATTAATTAATGACTGAATGAATTAATGACTGAATTAATTCACGACTGAATTAATGAACGACTGAATTAATAAATGCCTGAATTAATTAGAGACTGAATTAATTAACGCTGAATTAATTAACGATGGCATTAATTAATGACTGAATTAATTAACGCCTGAATTTAATTAGTGCCTGAAATAATTAATGACTGAATTAATTAATGCCTGAATTAATTAACCACTGAATTAATGAATGACTGAATTAATTAACGACTTAATTAATTAACGACTGAATTACTTAATGCCTGAATTAATGAATGCCTGAATTAATTAACAACTGAAATAATTAATGCCTGTATTAATTAATGCCTGAATTAATTAACCACTGAATTAATGAATGACTGAATTAATCAAGGACTTAATTAACTAACGACCAAATTAATTAACGCCTGAATTAGTTAAGGCCTGAATTAATTAATGACTGAATTAATGAACAACTGAATTAATTAACGACTGAATTAATTAACGACTGGATTAATTAACGAGTGAATTAATTAATGACTGAATTTATTAAGGCCGGAATTAATTACTGACTGAATTAATTAAAGACTGAATTAATTCACGACTGAATTAATTAATGACTGGATTAATTTACTACTGAAATAGTGAATGATTTAATTACTTATTATTAATTATTAATTACTTAATTATTAATAATTATTATTAATTATTGCTTTATTAATGATTAATTATTAATGATTAATTAACGATTAATTAATGATGAATTCATCATCCCCAGGGAGATCCTGGTTGAGGAGAGCAACGTGCAGCGCGTGGACTCGCCCGTCACCGTGAGCACCAAAACGGGGAAAATTCCCCGAAAATTTGGGCAAAATTCCTGAAAATTGGGCAAAAATTCCGAAAATTTGGGAATTTGGGGAATTTTGGGGGAAAATTTGGGCAAAAAATCCGGAATTTTTTGAGGAAATTTTGGGCCAAATTTGAGAATTTTTGCCCCCAAAAAATCGGAATTTTCTGGATATTCTGGGGAGAATTTGGGGAAATTTTGGGGATTTTTGCCAAAAATAATCGGAATTTTCTGGAATAATTTGGGGGAAATTTGGGAAAAATCCAGAATTTTTTTGAGGACATTTTGGGGCAAATTCAAGATTTTTTTTGCCCAAAAAAATTCGGAATTTTCTGGGAATTTTTGGGGAAATTTGGGGAAAACTTTGGGGGAAATTTTGGGAATTTTTGGCCAAAAAAAAATCAAGAATTTTTTGGGAATTTTGGGAATAATTTGGGGGAAATTTGGGGGAAAATTTGGGACAAATTCTGGAATTTTTTGAGGAAATATTGGAAGAATTTTGGGGGAATTTTCTGGGAATTTGGGGAATAATTTGGGGAATTTTTGCCAAAAAAAAATCAGAATTTTTTGGGGGAATTTTGGGGAAAATTTGGGGGAAATTTGGGGAAAATTTGGGAAAAATCCGGATTTTTTTGAGGAAATTTTGGGGCAAATTTGAGACTTTTTGCCCAAAAAATCAGAATTTTCTGGGAATAATTTCAGGAGAATTTGGGGAATTTTTGACCAAAAAAATTCAAAATTTTGGGGGAATAATTTGGGGAAAAATTGGGAAAATTTCCAGAATTTTTGGGGAAATGTTGGGGGAATTTTGGGGGAATTTTTTGAGCATTTTTGAGGAAATTTTGGGACAAATTCTGGAATTTTTGGGGGAATTTTGGGAAAAATTTTGAGAAAATTCCAGAATTTTTTGAGGTGTTTTGAGGAAATTTTGGGACAATTTTGGGAATTTTTGCCAAAAAAAAATCAGAATTTTCTGAGAATTTTGGGAATAATTTGGGGGAATTTTGGGGAAAATTTGGGCAAAAATCCGGATTTTTTTGAGGGAATTTTGGGGCAAATTCGAGAATTTTTGCCCCAAAAATTCAGAATTTTGTGGGAATAATTTGGGGAAAATTTGGGGGAAAATTTTGGGAAAATTTTGGGGAATTTTTGGGGAAAAATTCACAAAAATTTTGGGAAAATTTGGGCTAAAATCCGGGATTTTTTGAGGAAATTTTGGGGTAAATTTGGGGCAAATTCGAAAATTTTTGCCAAAAAAATTCAGAATTTTCTGGGAATAATTTCAGGAGAATTTGGGGAATTTTTGGCCAAAAAAATTCAGAATTTTGGGGGAATAATTTGGGGGAATTTTGGGATAAATTTGGGGAAAATTTGGGGATAATTTGGCCACAAATCCGGAATTTTTTGAGGAAATTTTGGGGAAATTTTGGGGCAAATTCGAGAATTTTTGCCCAAAAAAAATCGGAATTTTCTGGGGAGAATTTGGGGAAAATTTGGGGAAATTTTTGGGGAATTTTCTGGGAATTTTGTGGAAATTTTGGGGGGAATTTTTTGATGAATTTTGGAGAAATTTTGGGACCAAATTTTGGGGATTTTTGCCAAAAAAAAAGGGAATTTTCTGGGAATAATTTGGGGAAAATTCGAGGAATTTTGGGGGAAAATTTGGGAAAATTCCAGAAATTTTGGGGTGAATTTTGGGTGATTTTGGGACATTGTGGGATGTCCAGAATTTGGATCTTTTTGGGTGAATTTTTGGGTGAATTTTGGCTATTTTGGATATTCTGAGTCAATTTTGGGTGAATTTTGGGCTATTTTTAGATATTTTGGGTCAATTTTGGTTGAATTTTGGATATTTTGGGTGAATTTTGTATGATTTGGATATTCTGGGATGAATTTTGGATCAATTTTGGGATATTTTGGATATTCTGGGTGATTTTTAGGGATATTTTGGGTGATTTTGGGACATTTTGGGAATATTTTGGGTGATTTTGGGACATTTTGGGATGTCCATAATTTGGATTTTTTGGGTGAATTTTGGGCTATTTTGGGTGAATTTTGGGTGAATTATTTTGGGGCTATTTTGGGTGATTTTGGGTGAATTTTGGGTGAATTTTGGGTGATTTTGGGTGAATTATTTTGGGTGATTTTGAGTGAATTTTGGGTGATTTTGGGAGAATTTTGGGCTATTTTGAATTATTTTGGGTGAATTTTGGGTGATTTTTGGGTGATTTTGGGTGAATTTGGGTGAATTATTTTGGGTGATTTTGGGGGATTTTTTGGGTGAATTTTGGGTGAATTTTGAGTGATTTTGGGTGAATTTTGGGTGATTTTGAGTGAATTTTGGGTGATTTGGATATTCTGGGTGAATTTTGGGGGCTATTTTGGGTCAGTTTTGGGTGGATTTTGGGATGTCCATCACTGGGATCTTTTGGCTGATTTTTGGGTGATTTTTGGGCTATTTTCGATATTTTGGGTGAATTTTGGGTGATTCTGGGTGAATTTTGGCTGATTTTTGGGTGAATTTTGGGCTATATTTGGTGACTTTGGGTGAATTTTGGGTGAATTATTTTGGGTGATTTTTGGGTGAATTTTGGGTGAATTTTGGGTGAATTTTGGGTGGAATTTTGGCTATATTGGGTGAATTTTGGGTGAATTATTTTGGGGCTATTTTGGGTGAATTTTGGGTGATTTTGGGGATTTTTGGGTTAATTTTGGGTGATTTTGGGTGAATTTTGGGTGATTTTTGGGTGAATTATTTTGGGTGATTTTTGGGGGATTTTTGGTGAATTTTGGGCTATATTGGGTGAATTTTGGGTGAATTATTTTGGGGCTATTTTGGTGGATTTTGGGGATTTTTGGGTGAATTTTGGTGATTTTTGGGTGAATTTTGGGTAATTTTGGGTGAATTATTTTGGTGATTTGAATTTTGGGTGAATTATTTTGGGGTAAATGTGGGGCTATTTTGGGTGAATTTGGAGTGATTTTGGGTGAATTATTGGGGTGATTGTGGGGGATTTTGGGGTGAATTGGGGTGAATTATTGGGTGGGTGATTTGGGTAAATTTTGGGTGATTTTGGGGTGAATTTTGGGTGATTTTGGGTGAATTTTGGTGATTCTGGTGAGATTTTGGGTGATTTTGGGTGAATTTGGTGATTTTGGGGTGAATTGGGTGTTTGGGTGGTATTTGGGGGGTTGTGGGTGGTATTTGGGGGGTTTGGGGTGTTGGGGGGTGATTTTGGGGTGATTTGGGGTGATTGGTTGTGGGTGTGTTGGGTGATTGTGGGTGATTTGGGGGGTTTTGGGTGAATTTTGGGGTGATTTTGGGGGATTTGGGGGTGGGGCTTGGGTGAATTTGGGGTGGTTTTGGTGGTTTGGGTGGTGGGGTGTTGTTTTGGGGTGTTTTGGGGTGGATTTTGGGCAATTTGTGGTATTTGGGTGATTTGTGGGCTATTTTCGATATTTTGGGGGAATTTTGGGTGAATTATTGGGTGATTGGGGTGATTTTGGGTGATTTGGGGGTCTCCCTGTCCCCTCCAGGTGTGCGGGGACATCCACGGGCAATTCTACGACCTCAAGGAGCTGTTCCGGGTCAGTGACCCCGAGTGACCCCTGAGTGACCCCTGAGTGACCCCTGAGTGACCCCTGAGAGTGACCACAGAGTGACCACAGAGTGACCAATGAGTGACCAATGAGTGACCAATGAGTGACCACAGAGTGACCAATGAGTGACCACAGAGTGACCAGAGAGTGACCAATGAGTGACCAATGAGTGACCATTGAGTGACCATTGAGTGACCAATGAGTGACCAATGAGTGACCAATGAGTGACCAATGAGTGACCAATGAGTGACCACAGAGTGACCAATGAGTGACCAATGAGTGACCCAATGAGTGACCACAGAGTGACCAATGAGTGACCAGAGAGTGACCACAGAGTGACCACAGAGTGACCAATGAGTGACCACAGAGTGACCAATGAGTGACCAGAGAGTGACCAGAGAGTGACCACAGAGTGACCAATGAGTGACCAATGAGTGACCATGAGTGACCACAGAGTGACCAATGAGTGACCATTGAGTGACCAATGAATGACCAATGAGTGACCAATGAGTGACCACAGAGTGACCAATGAGTGACCACAGAGTGACCAATGAGTGACCAATGAGTGACCATTGAGTGACCAATGAGTGACCACAGAGTGACCAATGAGTGACCAATGAGTGACCACAGAGTGACCACAGAGTGACCACAGAGTGACCAATGAGTGACCAATGAGTGACCACAGAGTGACCAATGAGTGACCACAGAGTGACCAATGAGTGACCAATGAGTGACCACAGAGTGACCAATGAGTGACCAATGAGTGACCAATGAGTGACCACAGAGTGACCAATTCAGGGAATTTCTGAGTGAATTTCGCTGATTTTTGGTGTAAAATCTGTGAATTTTGGGGTCAAATCTTTGGGGATATTGGGGGGACTTTTTTGGGGATTTTTTTGGGATTTTTTGGATTTTTTTGGGATTTTTTGGGGGATTTTTGGGGGGATGTTTTTGAGATTTTTTGGGGATTTTTTTTTTGGGGGGGGGGATTTTTTTTGATTTTTTGGGGATTTTTTTAGCATTTTTTGAGGTTTTTTTGGGATTTTTTTTTTGTTTTTTTGGGGATTTTTTTTTCATTTTTGGGGATTTTTTTAGGATTTTTTTTTATTTTTTTGGGATTTTGGGGGGATTTTTGGGGGATTTTTTTGAGATTTTTTGGGGATTTTTTGTGATTTTTTTGTGATTTTTTGTATTTTTGGGTATTTTTTTGGATTTTTTTGGGGATTTTTGGGGGGGATTTGGGGGGATTTGTGGGGGAGTTTGTGGGGGATTTTTGGGGATATTTGGGGATTGTTGGGGTGTGTTTTGTGATTTTTGGGGGTATTTTGGGAGATTTTTTGGGGTCTTTTGGGATTTTTTTGGATTTTTGGGGGATTTTGGGGGATTTTTTGGGATATTGTGGGATTTTTGGGGGGGGGATTTTTTTTGGGATTGTTTTGGGATGTTTTGGGGGGATTTTTGTGGGGATTTTTTGAGATTTTTTGGGAATTTTCGGGGGGATATTTTTGCGATTTTTTACGATTTTTTGGGATTTTTTGGGGATATTTGAGATTTTTTGGGATTTCTTGGAGATTTTTGGGGGATTTTGGGGGGATTTTTGGGGGGATTGTTTAGGATTTTTTTTTGATTTTTTGGGGGATTTTTGGGGGGGTTGTTGTGGGGAATTTTTGTTGTTTTAATGTTTGGGGATTGTTTTGGATTTTTTTGGGGATTTTTTGCGTTTTTTGGGGGTTTTTTGAGATTTTTTTGGGGGATTTTGTGGGATTGTTTGGGGGATTTTTGGGGGATATGTGGGAATTGTGGGGGGGATGTTGGGGGGATTGTTTGAGATTTCTTGGGGATTTTTTGGGGATTTTTTGGGAATTTTTTGGGATTCTTTGGGGATTTTGGGGATTTTTGGGGGTTTTTTGGGGAATTTTTGGGTGATTTTTGGGCGATTTTCTTGCGATTCTCTTGCGATTTTTGTTGAGATTGTTTTGGGATTTTTTTTGAGATTTTTTGGGGGTTTTTTGGGGGGATTTTTTGGGGATTTTTTGAGATTCTGTAGGGATTTTAGGGAGATTTGTGGGATTTTTGGGGATTGGTTTGGGAGATTTGTTGGGGAATTTGGGGGTGGTTTTGTGGCGATTTTTTTGGGATTTTTGGGGGATTTGTTTGAGTATTTTGTGGGGATTTGGGGGGGAATTGTTGGGACTTCTTTGGGATTTTTGGGGGGATTTTTTTGCGATTTTCTTGGGATTTTTTGGGGATATTTTTGCGATTTTTGGCGATTTTTTGGGATTTTGGGGGGATTTGTTGTGTTGTTTTGAGATTGTTTGGGGGGGATTTGTTTGCGATTGTTGGGATTTGTTTTTATTTTTTTGCGATTTTTTGGGGGCATTTGTTGCAGTTTTTTGGGGATTTTTGGGGGATTTTTGTGGGATTTTGTGGGATTTTTTTTGGGTACTTTGTTGCGGGTTTTTTGAGATATTTTTGGGGGATTTTTTGGGGATTTTTGTTGGATTTTTGGGGAATTATGGGGGGATTTTTGTGGGGATTTTTTGTTAATTTTTGTTTGAATTTGTTGGGGGACTATCTTGGGATTGGGTATTGGGAGGATTTTTGTGTGATTTTTTGGCGATTTTTTGGGGATATTTTGCGATTTTTTACAATTTTTTGGGGGGGATTTGTTTGAGATTTTTTTGGGGGGATTTTTTTGGAGACATTATGGGGATTTTGGGGGTTTTTTTGGGAATTTTGGGGGTGTTGTTTTTGAATTGGGGGGATGTTTGGGGATTTTTGAGGTTGTTTTGGGATTTTTTGGGGACATTTTTGCTATTTTGGGGGATTGTTTGCGATTTTTGGGGGATGTTTGGGGGGATTTGGTGGGATTTTGTGGGATACTGTTTTGCGGATTTTTGAGTATTGGGGGGGATTTTTTGAGATTTTTTGGGGGGGATTTGTGGGGAATTTTGTTTTTGGCGGGGAGATTTTTTGAGATTTTTTGGGGATTTTTTTGGAATTTTTTGGCGATTTTTTGCGATTTTTGTCGATTTTCTGTGATTTTTGGGGGATATTTTTGGGGGATGTTTTTTTGCGATTTTTTTTGCGATTTTTTTGTTTTTGTGCGATGTTTTTTTGGCGATTGTTTTGATTTTTGTGAGTTTTTTGGGAGATTTGTTTGGGGGATGTTTTGGGGATTTTTTGGGATTTTTTTGGATTTTTGGGATTTTGGGGGTGGTTTGTTGCGATTTTGGGGGGATTTTTGGGGGATTTTGTTGAGATTGTTTTCGCGATTTTTCGCGATTTTTTTGTGTTTTTTTGCCCCCCCTCCCCTGTCCCTGAGCTGTCCCTGACCTGTCCGTGTCTCACCTGCGCAGGTGGGCGGGGATGTCCCAGAGACCAATTACCTGTTCATGGGCGACTTCGTCGACCGCAGGCTTCTACAGCGTGGAGACTTTTCTGCTGCTGCTGGCATTAAAGGTGAGACACAGGTGTGGGACACAGGTGAGACACAGGTGTGACAGGTGTGACATGACAGGTGTGACACAGGTGTGACAGGTACAGACAGCGTGGAGACCTTTCTGCTCCTCCTGGCACTAAAGGTGAGACAGGTACAGGTGTGACAGGTGTGACACAGGTGAGACACAGGTGAGACAGGTGTGACAGGTGAAACACAGGTGTGACACAGGTGTGACACAGGTGTGACAGGTGTGACAGGTGTGACAGGTGTGACACAGGTGTGACAGGTGTGACACAGGTGTGACACAGGTGTGACACAGGTGGGACACAGGTGAGACACAGGTGTGACAGGTGTGACATGACAGGTGTGACAGGTGAGATACACCTGAGATAGGTATGGACAGCGTGGAGACCTTCCTGCTTCTGCTGGCATTGAAGGTGAGACAGGTACAGGTGTGACACAGGTGTAACAGGTGTGACACAGGTGTGACACAGGTGTGACAGGTGTGACACAGGTGTGACAGGTGTGACAGGTGTGACACAGGTGTGACAGGTGTGACAGGTGTGAGACCTTCCTGCTGCTGCTGGCACTAAAGGTGAGACACAGGTGTGACACAGGTGTGACAGGTGTGACACAGGTGTGAGACAGGTGTGACAGGTGTGACAGGTGTGACACAGGTGAGACACAGGTGAGACACAGGTGAGACAGGTGTGACACAGGTGTGATACAGGTGTGACAGGTGTGACACAGGTGTGACATGACATGTGTGACACAGGTGTGACACAGGTGTGACACAGGTGTGACACAGGTGAGATACAGGTGTGACACAGGTGTGACAGGTGTGACACAGGTGTGACACAGGTGTGACACAGGTGTGGGACAGGTGTGACAGGTGTGACACAGGTGTGACAGGTGTGACACAGGTGTGATAAAGGTGTGACACAGGTGTGACAGGTGTGACACAGGTGTGACAGGTGTGACACAGGTGTGACACAGGTGTGACACAGGTGTGACAGGTGTGAGACAGGTGTGACAGGTGTGACAGGTGTGAGACAGGTGTGACACAGGTGTGACAGGTGTGACACAGGTGTGACAGGTGTGACAGGTGTGACACAGGTGTGACACAGGTGTGACAGGTGTGACACAGGTGTGATACAGGTGTGACAGGTGTGACACAGGTGTGACAGGTGTGACAGGTACAGACAGCGTGGAGACCTTCCTGCTGCTGCTGGCATTAAAGGTGAGACACAGGTGTGGGACACACCTGGACAGGTGTGACACAGGTGTGACACAGGTGTGACAGGTGAGATACAGGTGTGATACAGGTGTGACAGGTGTGACAGGTACAGACAGCGTGGAGACCTTTCTGCTGCTGCTGGCACTAAAGGTGAGCTCACCTGGACAGGTGTGACACAGGTGTGACACAGGTGTGAGACAGGTGTGATACATGTGTGACAGGTGTGATGGGTATGACAGGTGAGATACACCTGAGATAGGTACAGACAGCGTGGAGACCTTCCTGCTGCTGCTGGCATTAAAGGTGAGCTCACCTGGACAGGTGTGACACAGGTGTGACACAGGGGTGACACAGGTGTGACAGGTGTGACAGGTGTGACACAGGTGTGACACAGGTGTGACACAGGTGTGGGACACAGGTGTGACACAGGTGTGACACAGGTGTGACACAGGTGTGACAGGTGTGAGACAGGTGTGACAGGTGTGACACAGGTGTGACAGGTGAGATACACCTGAGATAGGTATGGACAGCGTGGAGACCTTCCTGCTGCTGCTGGCATTAAAGGTGAGACACAGGTGTGGGACAGGTGTGACACAGGTGTGACAGGTGAGATACACCTGAGATGGGTGTGACACAGGTGTGACACAGGTGTGACACAGGTGTGACACAGGTGTGACACAGGTGTGACACAGGTGTGACAGGTGTGACAGGTGTGACAGGTGTGACACAGGTGTGACAGGTGTGATACAGGTGTGACACAGGTGTGACACAGGTGTGACAGGTGTGACAGGTGAGACACAGGTGTGACAGGTGTGACACAGGTGTGACACAGGTGTGACAGGTGTGACAGTGTGACACAGGTGTGACAGGTGTGACAGGTGTGACACAGGTGTGACACAGGTGTGACACAGGTGTGACACAGGTGTGAGACAGGTGTGACACAGGTGTGACAGGTGTGACACAGGTGTGACACAGGTGTGACAGGTGTGACACAGGTGTGACACAGGTGTGACAGGTGAGACACAGGTGTGACAGGTGTGACAGGTGTGACACAGGTGTGACACAGGTGTGAGACAGGTGTGACACAGGTGTGACAGGTGTGACACAGGTGTGACACAGGTGTGACACAGGTGTGACAGGTGTGACACAGGTGTGACACAGGTGTGACAGGTGAGACACAGGTGTGACAGGTGTGACAGGTGTGACACAGGTGTGACAGGTGTGACAGGTGTGACACAGGTGTGACAGGTGTGACACAGGTGTGACACAGGTGTGACAGGTGTGACACAGGTGTTACAGGTGTGACACAGGTGTGACAGGTGTGACACAGGTGGGACACAGGTGTGACACAGGTGGGACACAGGTGTGACAGGTGTGACACAGGTGTGACACAGGTGTGACAGGTACAGACAGCGTGGAGACCTTCCTGCTGCTGCTGGCATTAAAGGTGAGACACAGGTGAGACACAGGTGTGACACAGGTGTGACATGACAGGTGTGACAGGAGTGACACAGGTGTGACATGACAGGTGTGACACAGGTGTGACAGGTGTGACACAGGTGTGATACAGGTGTGACACAGGTGTGACAGGTGTGACAGGTGTGACAGGCGTGACAGGTGTGAGACAGGTGTGAGACAGGTGTGATACAGGTGTGACAGGTGTGACAGGTGTGACAGGCGTGACAGGTGTGACATGACAGGTGTGACACAGGTGTGACAGGTGAGACACAGGTGTGACAGGTGTCACAGGTGAGACAGGTGTGATACAGGTGTGGGACAGGTGTGACACAGGTGAGATACACCTGGGATAGGTATGGACAGCGTGGAGACCTTCCTGCTGCTGCTGGCACTAAAGGTGTGACACAGGTGTGACAGGTGTGACAGGTGTGACAGCTGTGACACAGGTGTGACACAGGTGTGACAGGTGTGACAGGTGTGACAGGTGTGACAGGTGTGACAGGTGTGAGACAGGTGTGACACAGGTGTGACACAGGTGTGACAGGTACAGACAGCGTGGAGACCTTCCTGCTGCTGCTGGCATTAAAGGTGAGACACAGGTGTGACACAGGTGTGACAGGAGTGACACAGGTGTGACAGGTGTGACACAGGTGTGACAGGTGTGACAGGTGTGACAGGTGTGATACAGGTGTGATGGGTGTGACACACCTGAGATGGGTGTGAGACCTTCCTGCTCCTCCTGGCATTAAAGGTGAGACAGGTACAGGTGTGACACAGGTGGGACAGGTGTGACACAGGTGTGACACAGGTGTGACAGGTGTGACAGGTGAGATACACCTGAGATGGGTACAGACAGCGTGGAGACCTTCCTGCTGCTGCTGGCATTGAAGGTGAGACACAGGTGTGACACAGGTGTGACAGGAGTGACACAGGTGTGACACAGGTGTGACAGACCTGAGATGGGTGTGACAGGTGTGACACACCTGGACAGGTACAGACAGGTGTGACGGGTGTGAGACCTTCCTGCTCCTGCTGGCCTTAAAGGTGAGACACAGGTGTGACACAGGTGTGACACAGGTGAGACACAGGTGTGACAGGTGTGACACAGGTGTGACAGGTGTGAGACCTTCCTGCTGCTGCTGGCCTTAAAGGTGAGACACAGGTGTGACACAGGTGACAGGTGTGACACAGGTGTGACAGGTGTGATACACCTGGGATAGGTATGGACAGCGTGGAGACCTTCCTGCTGCTGCTGGCATTAAAGGTGAGCTCACCTGGACAGGTGTGACAGGTGAGACACAGGTGTGACACAGGTGATACAGGTGTGACAGGTGTGACACAGGTGTGACAGGTGTGACAGGTGTGACAGGTGTGACACAGGTGTGACACAGGTGTGACACAGGTGTGACACAGGTGTGACACAGGTGAGATACACCTGGGATAGGTATGGACAGCGTGGAGACCTTTCTGCTGCTGCTGGCATTAAAGGTGAGACAGGTACAGGTGTGAGACAGGTGTGACACAGGTGTGACAGGTACAGGTGTGACACAGGTGTGACACAGGTGTGACACAGGTGTGACACAGGTGTGACAGGTACAGGTGTGACACAGGTGTGACAGGTGAGACACAGGTGTGACACAGGTGTGACAGGTGTGACACAGGTGTGACACAGGTGTGACAGGTGTGACACACCTGGACAGGTACAGACGCCTGCACAGGTGTGATGGGTCTGAGACCTTCCTGCTCCTCCTGGCACTCAAGGTGAGCTCACCTGGACAGGTGTGGACACCTGGACAGGTACAGACAGGTATAGAGCAGTACAGACAGGTGTGATGGGTGTGACACACCTGTACAGGTACGGACAGGTACAGACGGGTGTGACACACCTGGACAGGTGAGACAGGTATAGACAGGTGTGACACACCTGGACAGGTACAGACAGGTGTGGGACAGGTGTGACGCACCTGGACAGGTGTGACAGGTACAGACAGGTGTGACACACCTGGACAGGTGAGACAGGTACAGACAGGTGTGGGACAGGTGTGACACACCTGGACAGGTGTGAGGCCTTTCTTCTGGTGCTGAAGGTGACCTCAGGTGTGCTCAAGTGACCTCAGGTGATCCAGGTGTGCCCAGGTGAGCTCAGGTGTGTTCAGGTGTGACCCAGGTGTTCCCAGGTGTGCTCAGGTGTGTGCTCAGGTGAGCTCAGGTGTATTCAGGTGATCCAGGTGTGCTCCAGGTGTGACCCAGGTGTGCTCCAGGTGTGCTCAGGTGTACCCAGGTGAGCTCAGGTGCAGCACAGACAGAGCAGGTGAGGGGCAGATGACACCTGGGTGTGGCCCTGGGCGTGTCCCTGAGCTCTGCTCACCTGTGCCCAGGTGTGACCCAGGTGTGCCCAGGTGTGCTCAGGTGAGCTCAGGTGACCCAGGTGGGACCCAGGTGTACCCAGGTGTGCCCAGGTGTGCCCAGGTGTGTTCAGGTGTGACCCAGGTGTACCCAGGTGTGACCCAGGTGTACCCAGGTGTGCCCAGGTGTGACCCAGGTGTGCACAGGTGTAACTCAGGTGTGTCACCTGTCCCCAGGTGAGGTACCCAGACCGGATCACGCTGATCAGAGGCAATCACGAGTCGCGTCAGATCACGCAGGTGTGGCACAGGTGATGCCATAGGTGTGTCATACATTACTCAGGTGTGTCATACATTACTCAGGTGTGTCATACATGACTCAGGTGTGTCTCACCTGTCCAGGTGAGGTACCCAGACCGGATCACGCTGATCAGAGGCAATCACGAGTCCCGTCAGATCACACAGGTGTTGCCATGGATAGGTTATACCTGGCACAGGTGTGTCATACATGACACAGGTGTGTTATACACAGCACAGGTGTGTTATACACAGCACAGGTGTGACTCAGGTGTGCTGTACCTGTCCAGGTGAGGTACCCAGACCGGATCACGCTGATCAGAGGCAATCACGAGTCCCGGCAGATCACGCAGGTGTGGCACAGGTGGCACAGGTGATGCCATAGGTGTGTCACACATGTCCCAGGTGTGTTGTGTGTAACTCAGGTGTGTCACCTGTCCCCAGGTGAGGTACCCAGACCGGATCACACTCATCAGGGGCAATCACGAGTCCCGTCAGATCACGCAGGTGTTGCTGTACCTGTGCTGTACATGGCACAGGTGTGTCATACATGACTCAGGTGTGTCATACCTGACCCAGGTGTGTTACCTGTGCCCAGGTGAGGTACCCAGACCGGATCACGCTGATCAGGGGCAATCACGAGTCCCGGCAGATCACGCAGGTGTGGCACAGGTGTGTCATACATGACACAGGTGATGCTGTACCTGTGCTGTACCTGACCCAGGTGTGTCACCTGTGCCCAGGTGAGGTACCCAGACCGGATCACACTGATCAGAGGTAACCACGAGTCCCGGCAGATCACGCAGGTGTGGCACAGGTGGCACAGGTGATGCCATAGGTGTGCTGTACCTGTCTCAGGTGTGTCACACATGTCTCAGGTGTGTCATACATGACTCAGGTGTGTCTCACCTGTCCCCAGGTGAGGTACCCAGACCGGATCACACTGATCAGGGGTAACCACGAGTCGCGTCAGATCACGCAGGTGTGGCACAGGTGATGCCATAGCTGTGCTATACCTGTCTCAGGTGTGTCATACATGACTCAGGTGTGTCATACATGACTCAGGTGTGTTACCTGTCCCCAGGTGAGGTACCCAGACCGGATCACCCTGATCTGGGGTAACCACGAGTCCTGGCAGATCACACAGGTGTGGCACAGGTGTGCTGTACATGGCACAGGTGATGCCATAGGTGTGTCATACATACCATAGGTGTGTCATACATGACTCAGGTGTGCTGTACCTGTCCAGGTGAGGTACCCAGACCGGATCACACTGATCAGGGGCAATCACGAGTCCCAGCAGATCATGCAGGTGTTTCCATAGATAGGTTATACCTGGTACAGGTGTGTTATACACAGCACAGGTGTGTCATACATGACTCAGGTGTGTCACCTGTCCAGGTGAGGTACCCAGACCGGATCACGCTGATCAGAGGTAACCACGAGTCCCGGCAGATCACGCAGGTGTGGCACAGGTGTGCTGTACATGGCACAGGTGATGCCATAGGTGTGTCACACGTGTCCCAGGTGTGTCATACATGCCACAGGTGTGCTGTACCTGTCCAGGTGTGGTACCCAGACCGGATCACGCTGATCAGGGGTAACCACGAGTCCCGGCAGATCACGCAGGTGTGGCACAGGTGTGTCATACATGACACAGGTGATGCTGTACCTGTGCTGTACCTGACCCAGGTGTGTCACCTGTGCCCAGGTGAGGTACCCAGACCGGATCACGCTGATCAGGGGCAATCACGAGTCCCGGCAGATCACACAGGTGTGGCATAGGTGTGCTGTACATAGGACAGGTGTGTCATACATACCATAGGTGTGTCATACATGGCACAGGTGTAACTCAGGTGTGTCACCTGTGCCCAGGTGAGGTACCCAGACCAGATCACACTCATCAGGGGCAATCACGAGTCCCAGCAGATCACACAGGTGTGGCACAGGTGTTGCCATGGATAGGTTATACCTGTCTCAGGTGTGTCATACACAGCACAGGTGTGTCACACATGACTCAGGTGTGCTGTACCTGTCCCCAGGTGAGGTACCCAGACCGGATCACGCTGATCAGGGGTAACCACGAGTCCCGGCAGATCACGCAGGTGTGGCACAGGTGTGCTGTACATGGCACAGGTGATGCCATAGGTGTGTCACACATGTCTCAGGTGTGTTGTGTGTAACTCAGGTGTGTCACCTGTGCCCAGGTGAGGTACCCGGACCAGATCACGCTGATCAGAGGTAACCATGAGTCCCGGCAGATCACGCAGGTGTTGCCATAGATAGGTTATACCTGGCACAGGTGTGTCATACATGCCATAGGTGTGTCATACATGGCACAGGTGTGACCCAGGTGTGTTACCTGTGCCCAGGTGAGGTACCCAGACCGGATCACGCTGATCAGGGGGCAATCACGAGTCGCGTCAGATCACGCAGGTGTGGCACAGGTGTTGCTGTACCTGTGCTGTACATGTCTCAGGTGTGTCATACATAACTCAGGTGTGTCATACATGACCCAGGTGTGTCACCTGTCCCCAGGTGAGGTACCCAGACCGGATCACGCTGATCAGGGGTAACCACGAGTCCCGGCAGATCACGCAGGTGTTGCTGTACCTGTGCTGTACATAGCACAGGTGTGTCATACATGACTCAGGTGTGTCATACCTGACCCAGGTGTGTTACCTGTGTCCAGGTGAGGTACCCAGACCGGATCACGCTGATCAGAGGTAACCACGAGTCCCGTCAGATCACGCAGGTGTGGCACAGGTGTGCTGTACATAGGACAGGTGTGTCACACATAGCACAGGTGTGTCATACACGGCACAGGTGTGACTCAGGTGTGTCACCTGTCCAGGTGAGGTACCCAGACCGGATCACGCTGATCAGAGGCAATCACGAGTCGCGTCAGATCACGGAGGTGTGGCACAGGTGTGCTGTACATGGCACAGGTGTGTCATACATGGCACAGGTGTGACCCAGGTGTGTCACCTGTCCCCAGGTGAGGTACCCAGACCGGATCACGCTGATCAGAGGTAACCACGAGTCCCGGCAGATCACGCAGGTTTACGGTTTCTACGACGAGTGCCTGCGCAAGTACGGCTCGGTCACCGTGTGGCGCTACTGCACCGAGATCTTCGACTACCTGAGCCTGTCGGCCATCATCGACGGCAAGGTGACACACCTGGGGACAGGGGACACACCTGGGGGGAAAAATGGGGAAAATTGGGGGGAAAAATGGGGAAAATTGGGGGGAAATCGGTGAAAATTGGGGGGAAATTGGTGAAAATTGGGGTTTTAGGGACACCTGGGGACAGGGACACACCTGGGGATACAGCTGGGGGCGGTGACACACCTGGGGACACACCTGGGGACACGGCTGGGGACACCTGGGGATATGGCTGGGGGGAAAAATCAGTGAAAATTGGGGGGAAATCGGTGAAAATTGGGGGGAAGTAGATGAAAATTGGGGGGAAATGGGTGAAAATTGGGGGTTTTAGGGACACCTGGGGGGGAAAACTGGTGAAAATTGGGGGGAAATGGGTGAAAATTGGGGGTTTTTGGGGACACACAGGGACACAGCTGGGGACACCTGGGGGGGAAAAATGGTGAAAATTGGGGGTTTTGGGGGCATCTGGGGACAGCTGGGTACAGGGCTGGGGACACCTGGGGGAAAAAATGGTGAAAATTGGGGGGAAATCAGTGAAAATTGGGGGTTTTAGGGACACCTGGGGACAGGGACACACCTGGGGATACGGCTGGGGACACGGCTGGGGGGAAAATCGGTGAAAATTGGGGGAAATG